ATTTATGGTTTGATACAATATTTTTTCTTATAAAAAATACACGTAAATCGAAAATAATTTTGAATCATGATTCTGAATCTATGAATCAAATAAAGTTAAAAGAAAAGTATTATTTTCAAACAAAAAACAATATATGGTACTGTCATTTTAAGAAGCAAAAAAAAAAAAAAAAAACAAAAAAAAACAAAAAAAAACAGGGGGCAACCTAACTTACTCTAGTGATCTATCAAATTTTCAATTTGAATTGATAGGAACAAATTGTTGTGTTTGTTTAAGAACATTCTGTTTCCTTTAAAAAAAAACAAAAAGAAAAGAAAAAGAACATTCTGTTCATGCAATCCATTTTAGCGTTTGATTTCTAAAAATATGCATTAAATCTTCGTAACTGACGGAGGACTTGATTAGTTACTTCGAATTTATTGGAGTTCTTAAGCTTGTATATTTATGCGTAACTAACCATGTAAATCAGACCAATATTTGAAAAAAAATAACACTGAAAAATCCTTACGATTTTGTGAAATAACGTTCATCTAATAGAATGTTCCAATCAAGTCGCTAGAAACCGAAAAATAACACTCAATTTTTTTCGATCAGTGGCTAAAAAATTGAGAACCATGTCGTTAGAAACCGAGAACTAAGTCGCCGGAAATCAAGAATCAAGTCGTCAAAAATTCAAATGTATTTTGCCCTATTTCTAACTCAACACAATAAATTACATTTTTACCCATAAAATGAGAGTCACAAACCATCCCGTGACACTTAACGTTCAAAATTTAATCGAAAAAGGGGAAAAGGAAAAATCGCGCTAACTGCTGATTGTTCAAGAGGAAATTTTGTAATTTTAAAAGTTCAGGCGGCATTTAGTTACAGACGCAATAATTCAAGGGGCAACAGTGTCATTTATCCATAAGTTAAATACAAATTAATTAATTTAAATAAATTATCTGATAGGACCATATCCTAAAAAAAGAAAAGGACCATATCCTAAAAAAAGAAAAGAAAAGTTTAAAATTATGGGCCGACAAGAACCAAAAGACAGTCAATTGGGCTGTGTCCACATTCACAAGCTTCTAAACCATTCCAGCCTTCTCTATCTCTTTCAGCCCATTCAAGAGAACCGAACCACCTCGAACTTTCCACCACCCGCCATTGCAAAACGAGTCATCAAATTGGACGGCAGTGATTGGCCCTCATGATCATCATCAAAATAATCGAACTAGCAATTGTTCCAGAATCTGTACACGTGGCTTCACCTAACCCTCTCTCTCTCTATCTCTCTCTGTCTGCGTCTCCCCAAAAACCCTTTTATTATTTTCTCTCCCACCTTCCTCCTCTTATCCCCTTCAGTACTCTTTCACCACACACCAAACAACTCAAAACTTCTTCTTCTTCGGCTTCTCCAAATTAGGGTTAGGGTTTTGCCAGTTCCAATTCTTCAATAATCATTTCCAATGGCTTCCTCCACAGCTCAGATAAACGTGCTCGGCGTAGCACCAGGCTCTTCTTCCTTCAGGAAGCACAATTTCAGAAACCCTAGGACGGTCTTCCTTGGTCAGAGGCTTGGGAGTACGGCGTCGTTTCCTTGCTCGGCGTTCCTGAGGACGGGGACCAACGGCATCAGGAGAGTGGGACCCCTTCGGGTGGTGAGCGAGAAGGTTGTGGGGATCGATTTGGGGACGACGAACTCGGCGGTCGGGGCTATGGAGGGCGGCAAGCCGACGATAGTCACCAACGCCGAGGGACAGAGGACGACGCCGTCGGTGGTGGCTTACACAAAGAACGGGGACAGACTTGTCGGTCAGATCGCCAAGAGACAGGCCGTCGTTAACCCCGAGAACACCTTCTTCTCCGTCAAGAGGTTCATCGGAAGGAAGATGTCGGAGGTCGACGAGGAGTCCAAGCAGGTCTCCTACAGAGTTGTTAGGGACGAGAATGGCAACGTCAAGCTTGATTGCCCTGCCATTGGCAAACAGTTCGCCGCCGAAGAAATTTCGGCTCAGGTATATATATATATATATCTAATTCTCTTTAGGATAATTAAAGTTTGGTTCTTTCACTGCTGAGATTGAACGAAAAATATTGACTTTTGAATTTTGATGGTAATTTTGTTGCTTTTTTGTTGGTTTAGTTCTTTGGAAATTTTGATTGAATTATTCGCTCTTAATTATTCTAATGCTGAATTGAAGACGAAATGTAGAATTTTGATGGTGATTTGCTGCTTTATGCTTTTTTTTAGTTCGTTGGAGATTCTAATTCTTGGACGGTTGGACCATTTATTGTTCATTGTTGAATTGACAGACTAGCTTCCAGAATAACTTTGAAACTGATTTTAGAGGCCCTCTAAGCAAATCCAAACTGAGCCTTAGCCGTGTAGCATTTTTTTTTTGGGTCCAAATTTCTTGTCAATTATCGTTATCTGGTCTTAGTTCATTAGAATCAGCTCTCTGTTCTGGTAATCTTTTTCCAATTAGTGGTCAGTTGCCAAATGCTAATTGTTTTACCTTGTTTCATCAGTATTGTCAATCTCTTATTTCTTTTCATTATAACTTTGTTTCTGATTTAGGTTTTGAGAAAGCTTGTGGATGATGCTTCAAAGTTTTTGAATGACAAAGTGACTAAAGCTGTTGTCACCGTGCCCGCATACTTCAATGACTCTCAAAGAACAGCTACAAAAGATGCTGGTCGTATTGCTGGTTTAGAGGTTCTTCGTATTATAAATGAACCCACTGCTGCTTCATTGGCCTATGGGTTTGAGAAGAAGAACAATGAGACAATCTTGGTTTTTGACCTTGGAGGTGGTACTTTTGATGTGTCAGGTAAGCGATACCGTTTATTTCAAATAGATACTGCATGATTTATTTAACTATTTCGGAAGATTTTGACTTATCACTGTTTACAATGAAATCACAGTTGCTCTTTGGCAAGAAATTTGACTGACCTTCTACTTCATTTCAGTTCTGGAGGTTGGTGATGGAGTGTTTGAAGTGCTGTCAACTTCTGGTGATACACATTTGGGTGGAGATGACTTTGACAAGGTACTTTCTTAAAAAACTGAGCTATGATCTCTATTTGGTGGAAAATCTGAGTTGATAAACATTGATACTTAACTATTACAACATGTGCACAGAGGATTGTTGATTGGCTAGCTGCCGCGTTCAAACGGGATGAAGGAATAGACCTGTTGAAGGACAAACAAGCTCTTCAGAGGCTAACTGAGACAGCTGAGAAAGCGAAAATGGAGTTGTCATCTTTGACTCAAACCAACATTAGGTATGTTAAATATACCGTAGGAATTGTCTTTAAATTCTTTTTTTTCCTGCCATGCACAAAGCTTCTGGGTTTCCACTGACAATGTTTGGTTTCCTGCAGTTTGCCTTTCATTACAGCCACTGCTGACGGCCCCAAACACATCGAAACCACCATTACCAGGGCTAAGTTTGAGGAGCTTTGCTCAGATCTCCTTGACAGGTATCTAATTTGTGTTGAACTATGATGACAATTATTATGTTTTGAATCTATTCTTTGCATCCACTGTTTATGAAAAACAAAACACTGTGGATTTAGTTTAAAGTCTAATTTCTCTTACCTGAAATTATCTAATCAGGCTTAAAACACCAGTGGAAAATGCCTTGAGGGATGCAAAACTCTCCTTCAAGGATCTTGATGAAGTGATCCTTGTTGGTGGGTCGACACGTATCCCTGCTGTTCAAGAGCTTGTGAAGAAGCTGACCGGGAAGGAGCCTAATGTTACAGTCAATCCCGATGAAGTTGTTGCTTTGGGTGCTGCAGTTCAGGTGAGTTTGCGGTTAATAACTTGTTAGTTCACTCCATGGTTTTTAAATTTTCATGTGGAAAAATCAGTTGGATAACTGAACCAACGCTTTTGAAGATGATTTTAGGGGATTGATATTGTTTTGTATTGCTTGCATGTGATAGATGTTAACTTCATACTGTTTTTTATTCTAGGCTGGTGTGTTGGCTGGAGATGTCAGTGACATTGTGCTCTTGGATGTAACCCCATTGTCGCTGGGTTTGGAAACCCTGGGTGGAGTCATGACGAAGATCATCCCAAGAAACACCACCCTGCCTACTTCAAAGTCGGAGGTGTTCTCTACAGCTGCTGATGGCCAGACAAGTGTGGAGATTAATGTTCTTCAGGGTGAGAGAGAATTTGTGAGGGACAACAAGTCTCTCGGCAGCTTCCGGTTGGATGGTATCCCACCTGCACCTCGTGGGGTTCCTCAGATTGAGGTCAAATTCGACATCGATGCGAATGGTATTCTCTCTGTCACGGCTATTGACAAGGGTACCGGGAAGAAGCAAGACATTACGATCACCGGTGCCAGCACATTGCCCAATGATGAGGTATTTTGCTTGTGTTTCGTATTGGACACAGATGTTTCTTAGCCTTTAGGTTGAGGAAATTCATTTAGAGGCTTGATGCTCGTATTGAGGACTAACGAGTGAAAAAAATGGAAAATTTACAGGTGAGTAGAATGGTTAAGGAAGCAGAGAAGTTCGCAAAGGAGGATAAAGAGAAGAGAGATGCAATTGACACAAAGAATCAGGCCGATTCGGTTGTCTACCAGACAGAGAAGCAGCTCAAGGAGCTGGGAGACAAGGTTCCTGGTGCTGTTAAAGAAAAGGTTGAGGCCAAACTTGGAGAGCTCAAGGAAGCCATTTCAGGAGGCTCTACCCAAGCTATTAAGGATGCAATGGCGGCCCTCAACCAGGAAGTGATGCAGCTCGGTCAGTCCCTTTACAACCAGCCTGGTGCTGCTCCCGGTGCTGGACCAGCCCCTGGTGGTGAAACCGGACCCTCGGACTCATCTTCCTCGTCCTCCTCCAAGGGACCCGATGGAGATGTCATTGATGCAGATTTCACGGACAGCAAGTGACATGTCTAGGTAGATGGACGATCCTTAGATTTATTTTCTTTCTTTTTTTTCCCCTTGATTTTTCTTTGTTTAGTAAATGTTTATAGAAGTGGTTTTTTTGGCGGGGAGTTTGGATCTGGATTTTGGACTACTTTTCCAGTCATTTTTGTTTGTGGAGAAACGAGAAAGGATGTTATTTAGATTCAGAAAATAGCGGATGAATTTAAGAAGCAAAAATGTTGGGGTTTCGGATTGAAGCCTACGCACATTGTTCCAAATATTAAACAAGGACTTGCGTAGCCATATGATGAATTTTGACATGATAAATTATTTATCGGGTTTCTTATCCCTTGATTTCTATTTCTTGTTCTTTTGTTTTTTCTTTGGCTAACTTTCCATTTCTTGTACTCGGATTAGAATAATCACAATATAATAACTTTTAAAGTTCCTTTGTTCTGCATCATCTATATATGGATAAAGTGCGCCAAACCCGCTGAATTGTGTTGCTTTATATAGCACTCCTAAAATTCCTTTTAGCCGCTAAAAGGAATTATATAATACCTTTTATAGAGAATAGTGAATCAATTGCGGAAGTGAGATTTCATTCAAACCTTCTAAACTGTAAATTGAAGACATAAGGTGGATAGAACGGGGAAATGGACTTCAATACTAAGGGCTTAATATACTCAAAATCAAATATTTGATAAAAAAAAATCAAATAATTGATTTTATGATAGTGTTTTTATCTAATAAAAAATTTTAAAAATACTCATAAAAAATTTGAATTTTTTAAATGTCAGAATTAAAAATTATGATATGAGTATGCTTTTTAAACGGCTTCAAGAATGAGTTGAGACTAAAACGACAAAACGACAAGGATCATATTACACAAACGACACAGGATCATCGTACAAAACTCATTTATTTTAAAACAAAAGTTGCGTTTTTAATATCTATAAAAAACTCCCAGTCAAGCATTTATTTAAAAAAGGCCATTTTGAAAAGACTTTCAAATCAGAAAATTTTTTAAACCATTTAAAATATATCTTCTAGATATAGGATAAACTATTGCTTTGTCTCCAAGATCTCAAACTTGCATGTCCTTATCTTCTTTCTGAAATTGAATCTAAATCTATTAAGCTTGCACACATTATCTTCTTCTCAATTTTCAATTCGACTCAATCTTAAATCCTAGAAGATGAACAATGACTTAGGTGTCGCCACAAGATGCCAGCACTAAAATACCTAACATATATATTACATAAACACAAAATTCTTGATAATTGTGGGCATATTTCAGTTTTCAATTTCATTATATATCTTCGAGATAGAGATTATGTGCGTAAAATGGCTAACAAAATGTGTGCCTATATCACGGTATCATCTTTCTTTCTTTCTTTCTTTCCTTTTTTTTGTGTGGTGGGGTAGGGTTTAAGTATCATATATTGGATTAAGAGTGGATCACATAATTAGTAATTTTCTCTTGAGCTATTATACGTTTTTGGTTCCACAAGTTTAAGGAAATTGTATCTGCCAAAACCAACATTAGTGTATAAACCAACATTTGTAATTATATTCGTTTTATGCAGAACTAGATTCTACTCGAGGACTTCAATTTTTCATTACCATGCAATATGATAGACAATCTTAAGGATTGGGAAAGTAAAGGTGTATCGTGCAACTATCAATTTCTCATTAATCAGTTGCAAAGATTTATAAATTGAGTTTATTTGACAAACTTATGGACCACTATAATTTACATGGAACTATTACACAATATATGGTTTGCAACGCTAGAATTTACTTTAACCACCATCGTTAGTTATGTGGTGAACAATAATAGAGACCAATTCTTAACAAGTAAAAGCAGACAACTCTCTTTTCCTCCCCCAGAAAACTCTCAATATACAGGAAACTTATGCTCAGACACAATTACACAACAACCTAATAATAATGTCACATAACACCACCATTATACTAACTGCTAGCCATGTACACCATGTACAGTTTTACCCTATGAGAAGTGGAGTGGAGAGGAGAAAAGAAAATGAAGAATCATCTGTACAAGTCAGCTCTCTTCATTTACAGTCTTTCTGTTACATCACTCCCACAATTTCTTTCTGGGACTACGAGGAAGACTCTCTGATCTATCAATCCTATGACAAGAACCATGGACAGGAAAATCATCAAACCCTCCACACCCTTTATGGTGCCTAAAACTTGTGTAGTAGTGATCAAGGCCACGACCGGATAAACCCCTTCTTAACTCGGTCCTACCCAACGTCGACAACGGCGGAGAAGCCGTCCGTTCATTCCCGGGGGGCATTTGAAGATCCAGGAGGGGTCTAGAAGACTGATAAGCATGGTGGTGGTGGTGGTGGTGTAGAGGGTAATGATGTTGCTGAATCCGGTGACTTTGAGGACTTTGAGGACGGTAAATGCTAGGAGAGCTTTGCACTCGATGCATGTTAAGCCCTGCGCTACTAACACTACTGCTGCCTAGGTAACAAGGCGGCAACGTCTCATGGGCTGCAGATTCGACGGGATGGAGCTCCGGAGAATTGGAGCTTGGTGAGGAGCAGGCAGAGGAGATGCTAAAGATGGGAGTGTGTGTAACAATGGGAGTGATTTTAGCCCTCCGAGTAGCCCGAACTACACCATTGACGGCGTCAACATACCGTTGCTCGAGCGAATGGTGTAGGGGCTCCACATAGGCAGCTTGATTCTCGTGAGCAATGGATGGCGGCTTCGACGGAAACAAGAAGGCGCGAAGCTTTGGGGAGCCTTGGTTCTCTTGACGGTTATATTCATGAAGCATGTGCTTTAGATCTTCATCAGTTTTCACTGAGACTAAGGTGTCTAGATCCTCAGGGATCAATTGGTACTTGAGAACCATATCCCCATCAAATTGATCCAAAAGCCTTTCCTTTAGTTCTGTTTGTGAAAAGAACAGGACACAAACATACATGAACAAAAAAATATTGTATAAAAATACTAAACTAGTATAGGTATTAAAGGAGACAAAAATATGTCAAATTGAAGTTCACACTACAGTAGATATAATAAAAGGAGAATGCCATCAGAAGTACTAAAAAAAAAAAAAGCTTTATCCATACTATTATATCAAGTTCTGTTAAATTTTCATTTTCATTTTTTTTTTGTTTAATATGATTTTGAATGTATGATCTTATTTTACCCTACAAGACAATTCGCCTTCCATAAATCAGTTTGTTATCCATTCTCGCTAAGACGAACACAAATACCTAAATAACAAAAAATGGAAAAAGACTGATCAATGCCACTGTCTCACTAATGGTTATGGCCTTTTTTATGTATCCTTTGTCTCTTAAAAAATACCTTCTCTTTATTCTATGATTATATTTCTATCTGTCTTTTACTTTCTTTTAGTAAATTTCTCCTAATAGATCCTGCGCTTTTTTGTTTATCCATATTAGTTTTCATTATCACTGCTTTTGTCATTACGACAGAGGAATTGAATTTCAAAAGTACAAACAGAAGGAATATTCAAATTAAAATTAAAGATTAAGAGAAAAAGAAATTTTTTATTATATATATACGCAGCGTCAATTTTCCAACGCAACAGAAATAAATAAATAAATAAATATATATATATATATATATATATATATTGCCTTTTTGCTGGAACAGAATGGAAAAACGCGCGTCGTCGTTGCGTTCCAGAATTTTCAGCGCCAATGGGCACCAAATTACAAAAAAAATTCTCAGGAAACAAACAGAGACAGACCTGAGAAAGTGATGTGTCCTCCTCCTCCACCACTACCACTCCGCCTCCGGCCGCCGCCATGGATGAGGATAAGGATTGCCGTGTGTCCCGATTCTCAACCAATAACCGAGTCGGTTACTCTGTCAGCCGATCAAATGACGAACAGAGTACTAAATTTGAGTCCGAAAATCGAAAGCAAACAAAAAGGCAAAGAATTTAGCGGGAGAGAGAGAGAGAGAAGGAAGGAAGATCAAATGAATGGACAGTTATTTTGTTCCGAGAATAGTTATTTATGGAAAATAACGGGAGAATGATTCTGTTTTAAACTAACCACTGGTTTTTTCTTTTAAAAAAAAATATAATATATTATTTTTGTTTTTTATTTTATTTGTTATTTATTTATTTATTAATAAATATATAAATCGGAATGGATTTGAGCGAATCTCTGTGTCTCCCTCCTTTTCTGTGTCTCTCGTCGGTTTTTGTTAGCCGTTTCTTCAGCCAAAAGGCCAAAGCTTTTGAAATGTAGGCTATGAAATTATGCTTTTAACCTCCACATATACCACACGTCCACCATTCCTTGCATTTTGGTCGAGTACTTGACACTTGTAAATCACTAGTGAAAACAGCTTTTGTATTTTTTTTATTTTGTTTTTAAAATCACGTGGCATTTGGTTCATGAATTCAAATCATGTGATTAGAATTATTTTCAATTTACGTAAATTTTTTATAAGAGAAAATACTGTAGCGAATTACGAACCAAGATTCGAATCAGGGAACGAATCTAGATACCAAACGGACATTAAAAGAAGTAAAAGATTGGTTTGCCTGGTGTATTTGGTGTGGATAACTTGTTTGTTTGACCATAAAAATGTAACGCCGGATAAATGTACCTCATGACATCAACAAGAACATCGATATATCCAACAAAAGTGTGAGAATTTATTTTTTGAGAAAACTTGATGTTAACACAAACACACTCTCCTACCGGGAGGATAATATAAATTTCAAGAGAGATTGTTAACATCACGTAGGTCCCGCAATTACTACCGTGGCACCTCATAACCCTCCTATATGGAATTTATTTGGTCCCACATATTGGTGGTCCACAACAAGTGACGTGCCTGCCTTATTTGTTATCACGACAGGAAGGTAAACATCAGATGCAACTCAAATACCACATTGCGATACAAATATCCCTTTCATTGCTACTCGTTGCCTTAATTTCCAAATTTTGAAAGGGAAGGAATTTATTAAATTATAAAGGAAAGGAGAAAAAAAAAAAAAACCAAACAAACTTTTTATGTCTGTAATACGCGCTTCTACACCTTATTGTTCTACTCTAAAATTTTTTGAACAAACAAAAAATAAAATTGCTATTTTCTTCTTGTTAAGTGTTTACCAAAGTTATAAATGTACAATTTGCTTCTAACAAATGTTACAGTTTGACTAGATGAGTTTTGTTCAGGGGTACGTCCAACATTTAAGACAAATTACAGTCGTCCAACATTACGTTTTCCTTTTTCCCTAAAGAACATTGTAAAATTTTTCTGAAAAACATATTTAGCTTCCACATATAAATTTGAGAATAGACCTCTGTTCAATATATATATATATATATATATATATATATTGAGACTTGACTAAAACACACTAATTTCCGCATAGTCTCACTCACAATTTCATTGAAACTAAGATCATCTCCGATATCAATATTAATGTTAATTGTCTATTTACTATCAAAAAGTGTGATATGATATGTTATTTTTAACTTTATTCTAATATATAATAATATTTGAAATGTTAAATTTATTTTTTTACATGATTATTAAACTTTGAAAGTTGTAAAAGTAAACTTTTATGTTTAAAATAATTAAAAAAATACAAAAACTGCAATGATTACATGAAAAAATAAACATTTCAACCAATAGCAATTAAATGTTAAATTTTTTATATATTATACTTGGTGGGATATTTGCTACAAAATATAACATATAGAAAATTTGGCACAACAAATAACATTATATTGAAAAAAAAAATTTTATTCTCAAATATTAAATTTGTAATTAACACATCAATTATAACATTACATTAGAGATACTCTAAATCCATTACCGAGTTCTAATAGTGGAAAATGAGAAAGAACAAAAGGACATTATCCTTCTTATCAAACAATAAAAATAACATGCCCATCTATCCAATGTCTTTTTTGTTCTAATTTTGTTTGTTTGAGAAACACAGGATGCTTAACCAATTAATTATTGAACTTCTCTCATTTTAATAATTGCATAGTAAGCGAATATATATATGTGTGTGTAAAGACTTGTAAAGAGGGTGAGAGAGAAGCCTAGAGATTTGACAAAGGACTAATAAAGAGGATATATATATATATAAAGCCCTGTTTTTGTGCCATCATATACATATCTATCCAAATAAGTGCATGCTTATGACCGCTCATAATCAATTCCCAACAATGATAATTTATCTCCTAAATGTAGCAATTAATGTTGTGTTAATTATCTAATTAAGAGTTACGTAACTCAAACACAAGATGCTTAATTAAGTGGACAATTTATTGAACTTCTCACTTTTTATTAAATTGATTGATAATATATAACTGAGCTAACATTAAGAACCAAAAACTCAAGACTGGAAAAATAAAACAAAAAAGGCCAATAGATTTGACTTGAGGAATACAAGTACAAGTACAAGATTGAGTCATTAAATAATAAAGTTGTGCAAAAAAAAAAAAAAAAAAAAAAAAAGAGAAAGAGAGACGACTAATTAATTAACGAAGTCCAAAGAGGCGCTTACAGGCTTTAAGGATCTTGCCTCCTCCGTGCTTCTTCTTCTTTCCAGATCTCGTTTTGTCTTCTTCTAATTCATCATCTTCATCGTCAATGGGCGACGCTAACGTCACCGACTGGTCATGGATCCGACAGTACCTCTCCGAAACCGACGAAGATCTTCTCATCGAAAGCACTCTCTTCACCGCAGACATCGAATTAGACACCGAGCTGTTCCTTCCCAGCACCGCGTTATTCGATGATGAACCAAACGCGGCCTTGTCTGCTTTTCTTGCAATATCTCCGTTAACATTTTCCACTTCTTCGCGATGATCATGATCGTCATTTCGTTTCCTCGGAGAAGACGAAGAAGACGATGACAAAGAAGAAGAAGAAGAAGAGTTATCAGCTTGAGTGGTTTTATTAGTCGTCTCCTTGGTTACAGTGGCATCCGTGTTCGTCTTAATGATCTGATCTAAATGGATTTTTGATCTACTGGAGTTTGGAGTAGTCTGGGGAAACGACATTGGAAGATCTGAGGAGAAATCTAGAGATTTTGATTTGTGGGTGTCGATGATATTGATCTTGGAATAACCCAGCTTCATAGCTTTGGATTGGATCACTTGGTCAGAGAGAGAGAGAGAGGGGGGGTAATGGTAATCGGTAAATGGCAATGCATGTGTGTATAAGTATGTGTTGTGTGTACTATATATATATATATGCGACGACAGTGAAGGGTTTGTAAGCATATGGGAAAACGATATGAGATGGTCCAAAGGATGGGACGTAGAAGGTCAGAGGGCGGTTGAGCTGCCCTCTTTGTGAAGTGATAGAGAGGGTAGATTTGCCTATTTGGTGTTGGTCAAAGATAAATAAAATATGGAAAAATATGAATTGAAAATTCATATGTAAAGCAACAAACCAATGGAGTATATTAAAATAATGGCATATGCTCTCTGATCAGGCACTTACAAAGTGCCTACCCGCACTTGTATAATCGTATATAAATTATGTATATTTATATATAAAATTATGTATATTTAACATAAAATATAATAAATTAATTAATATATATATTTTCATGTTATGTGTTCACTAATTACTATAAAAAAATATGTTTTGAAAATTAATATACATTATCGTTTTTTATAACTTAACATACATGATTTATATGTAAATATATACGATTTACATGTAAATATACACGATTACACAATTATACAAATGTCATGTAAATATACACAACCTATCTGTAAATATACATAATTTACTGTAAATATACACACTTTATATAAAAATGTACAAGTGCCGTTCTAGTCAGGCATTTTCCAAGTGCATGACCAGAGACTTTGTCGATATATATATATGTATATATATATATATATATATATGAAATATACTTAGAGGCATTATTTGTGCTAAACACTGCCAATAATGGAAAATAAAGGTCTTGTCTTTTTACAAATTAAGTTTTATTGTTATAGTGTTTTTTTTAATTTAAATTTAAATTTTTTTCCTATAGTGTTTTTATTCTCACATACAAAACTTAAATTCTTAACTTAAGTGTGAAACAAACATACATGAAGTCTTATTTATTGACTTTATACAGGACTTAAGGTATTTTCATTTGCACAACTCAAGTCATGACTTGAGTTATGTAGGTATAAGATAAACACTGTAACAAAAATGTTAAATTTAAATTTTTATGAGAGAAAATATTGTAGCAATTTGACTTGAGTCATAAAATGAACAATGACTTAATTTCTATTAGTAGGTGGTGCTCCCTTTAATACATTGTTAAGAAATTTGTATCTTCTCTTTTAAACTTCTATGATAAATCATAATACTTGTAAATTTGGGACACGTTTGGAACTCGTTATAAAATGATTTTATTTTTTGTATGAAAATGAAAATGAAAACGTTTTCAATCTCAGACATAAATCATTTTTGAAAATGTGTTTTGTAGTTTTATCAAGAGATTATTTTTAATGTAAAAAAACTCATTAATGTCTCTCTTTTTCTCTCTTTGCTTGAGAGAGAAGAAAATGAAAACAAAAAATAAAAAACGACTAAAAGTCATTTTTCATTTATCTTTCATTTTACACTAAACCAAAAAATAGTTTTCATTTTCATGTTTTGTCTTTATTGCGCCAAACGTTATTTTAAAAACGTTTTCATTTTTATTTTTCAAAAAATGTAAAAAATTAAAACGAAATCAATTCAAAACACGGCCTAAAAATAACTTTAAAGTGTTTTCTAATTTCTTCATAAAAATTATTTTCACTATTTTTATTTTTATTTTTAAAATATTTATTAAATAAACGTTATTTTATTTTTATTTTTATTTTTTACTTATCAAAATAAGCGAAAATCGTTTTAAAAAACGGTTTGAAGCACGAACTTGAATTTCAAAAAAAAAAAAGTTCGGCGCCTATCTCGCCAACTGAGTTGTCTGACGGTGTACTTTTTTATTGATTTTGAAATTTCCTGAATTTATTATGAATTGATCATTGCAATACTTTAATGGCTTTGTCTGCTAAAAGGAAAAGGTTAAAAAGAAGGATCTCTTTTTTTATTTTTTTATTTTGGTAAACTTTCAATCTATGACTCTGTGTGTGGTGTGCAGAGAACAACTTTAACTAAACAAATTATGTCTACGTCTAAAAGAATAAAAGCAAAAGGAAAAAAAAAAAAAAGGGAAAATAGAAACAAAATTTGTGGTCTGCTCTAATAATTAACTACGCTTTTATCCCATTCTTTAGCCAAAAAAAAAAAGGAACAAAGCGCTTATTTTGTTAGCGCAGAAAGAGAGAGTAATAAATTTCATAACATTATGCCTCTTAAACATAACAAATTTAATTTCATTATTTTCACATGCTTTTTCTAGTTTTGATATGACACAACACTAATTCTAAAGGAAAGTAACCTAACTGTAGACTACTACGTTATCATTTTAGTGCATTGCCGTTTCTTAGGGTGCCATAGTTGGGCAAAATTTTGGTGAGAATCTTTTTAATTTGGTCTAAAAATAAGGGAGTTTTTCCGCTCTATCAGTAGTTTTAATTTTTAACCATTAAATTTATTCAAAATAACATTAAATTAATAAATTATATAAAATAAATAAATTTTAATATAAATTTAACCGTTAAAAAATAAAAAATTATTAATAATCTATTTTTACCCCTAAAAATTAAACTGTACAATTTTTACACTTTGACCAAGTACAGTCAAACTCACGGCCGATGATCGACTAATCTTTACACCGACATTTAAAAAAATAGATAAATTAGGCACTGTGATTATTGGAGATTAAATAAATAATATTTGGGAAACAAAAGGTTTGACCGATTTCTCACCCAGATCTCAATCTCACAGTCTCACGTGATCATAATATTCGTCAAATTCAGTCAAACTAGGAACAAACTTTAAGATAGACACGGAGGCACCCAATTGATTCTCAGCTGTCGGATACTAATTCAGCGGCTCGGCTTAATATTTTCCGTAATTTTGCCATAATTTCAGCTACGCCATTTTTTTATTTATTTACTTCTTTTAAGACCTTTAACCCAGAGAATGTTTAAATCAAGAAATTCCGACTTTCTCTCTCTTCAGTTGAATTCATTCATTTCTCTGACTCACTCACTCCTCGTGCTTTTCACATATCTCACTCTCTCTCACTTTCTTTCTAATTAGGGTTTTTCTCTCTCCAACTTTCTCTCTCTAAAAAGTCTACATTGGAACCCAAAGTCCTCCAGCCGAACCTCTGAAAGATCGACGCAAAATCTCTTTGCATTTGCATTCCAAATTTGGCGACAATTCCAGCTCCATTTCGCATCAATTTCGTTTATGTTTCCATTTCCAGCTCAGAACTTGGGCTCTTTTTATTGCGCCGAACAATGTACGAAATTCATCTTATTTTTGCTCAATTTGCATGTATTTAGTTTCAATTTTGAGCTAAATTCGTGATTTTTGAGCCTAATTCTAGTTTTCGGATCAGTTTTGGATGAAAAATGCGCCGACTTTCGCATTTTCTCGAGCTGAATTTGTGCTTTGACTTCATTTCTTTCTTTTTTGTCGATTGGTATTGAGTTTTAGATCTGGTGTTTGGTGTAGGAGAAAGATTTGCTGAGTTATGGCGCTGAAGGTTCCGGCTTCGAGCGCTGCAGAGATTGCAATTGGTTCGATAGGGAGGGGATACGACATCTCAACGGATCTACGGCTCAAGTACTGCAAAGGAGGAGACTCCTCTGATTCGCGTTTGATCGAGATTGATGAAGACGATGGCCGCGAAATCGTTTTGCCCGGTGGAATTACAATCTCGAATGTTTCTAAATCCATCAAATGTGATAAAGGCGAGCGAACGCGGTTTAGGTCCGATGTTCTCTCTTTCCAACAGGTATTTCTTCTTCAAGTTTTGTTGTCGTTTATTCTTAATGATGATTTCTTAATCTCTCACCATAACTCATAAGAGATCACTTTCTCCTCCAAATTGGCATGCTTTCTCATGCATATGAAGTTGGAAATATGTTACTTGTCGTTTTATTTTCTCCTTTGCCACTCGTATGCATTCTTATGCATGAGAAGTCTTGGCAAAAGTAATATTTGCCCACTAATCTATGTTTGACACTATTTAAAAGCGTACCAAAAAGAGGAAAAATCATGAAGAGATGAAGGAATACATGCCAATTTTAGTAAACTTGGATCGGTGAGATCCACCTGTCATTCAATTTGTACCTGCCATGTTCACGTATAATTGTGATCCAATAGAGATGGATGTTTCTTTCTGGGCACTTTAATAATATCCTCAAATAGGCTTTCTATTAATAATAAATGGAAAAGAGAAGGCGAAGAAAGGTGATAATAACCATTGGTATCAAGAGATTTCATCGAATGTGTTGTAGCTTTCTCTGTTTCAGTAACTAACTGCATTCTCTCTCACTCCTAGATGTCAGAGCAGTTCAACCAGGAAATTTCTTTGACTGGAAAAATTCCTTCGGGCCTCTTCAATGCAATGTTTGATTTCTCAGGTTGTTGGCAGAAAGATGCAGCCAACAATAAGACCCTTGCTTTTGATGGGGTGTTCATCACGCTATACACTGTTGCATTGGAAAAGTCTCAGATGGTACTACGTGATCACGTTAAGAAAGCCGTCCCATCCTCGTGGGAACCCGCTGCATTAGCAAGGTAAATATAAAGTTTTCCATTAGCAAACCGCTGATCTCTCCAGTCTTCTCTTTTATGTGTCTTTCTGATGATGATACTAGTGCCTTTCCACTATCTGTAATGTGATGATCAATGTCATTGACAATAAAACAATGTTATGTTACACGCTCACTATTCCAGGTTTATTGAAACGTTTGGGACCCACATTATTGTTGGTGTGAAAATGGGAGGGAAGGATATTATATACATGAAGCAGCAGCACTCATCAAATCTTCAACCTGCCGATGTACAGAAAAAATTAAAGGATATGGCTGACAAAAGGTTCTTAGATGCCAATGGCCAGTATAGTTCATCCTCTCAACAAGTTTACAAAAATGACAAGGTTTGTGGATAATTTCTCGATGTCTTTTGATTTTGGTTCTACAATGTCACATACGACCATGGAATTTTTTTATTTTTATTCTTTTTTGGGATTTCCTTTGTGAATTTGTAATGGATGATCGTCTTAAGCTTCTGCTGTTCTTTATACTTTTCCATCTCACCTGCTGGCGGTATGACACCCGACAATAGATCTAGATGCTACATCTTTGAACTATTACCCAATATCCTTAACATAGTAAGATAATATTCAAGTTTAACCACGTACCTCAGAGACAGTTGTTTTCTTCCTATAAAAACTGTCTTGGTTAGCATACAAAAGCTCCTATGGTGATTTGATTTGTTAAAGCAATCGCTTATTTTTTCATAATTAACTTGTTTCTATTTTAGGTAACTTATCTAATCATTTTTGTTTCAGTTTGAAATCAGGGAGCAGCAACTACGGTTTGTAGACACTAGTCCTTCAAGTTCTTATTCACACAAGGAGGTGTGTTTCTGATATAATTTCGTGATAGAATAGCTGTCTTATGAGAGTCGGTACTAATTATTTATCCACTAAGTTATGTAATATATTTCTTGTTGCAGGATATTGTAACGATTTGCAAGAGGAGAGGTGGAAGTGATGTTAGAAACCTATCGCACCATGAATGGTTGCAAACTGTTCAAAGTGAACCTGATGTGATCTCAATGTCCTTTATCCCAATTACCTCTCTGTTGAATGGAGTCCCAGGAAGTGGATTCTTAAGCCATGCCATAAATCTTTACTTACGATGTAAGCAACATTCCTTGTTCTTTGCATATTGCATATGGTTTTGAATTACTGCTATTTATTCCCAACAAGCCGATAGATAGTGGATCTATATATTGGGCCAGAATATCTCACGCTGATATAATTTAGCTGGTAATGTGTAAAGTTTAATCCTTCTTCTGCATGTTTCTGTAGATAAACCACCAATTGAAGAGCTCCATCAGTTTTTGGAGTTTCAGCTACCAAGACAGTGGGCCCCAGTGTTCAGTGAACTTCCCCTTGGTCCACAGAGAAAGCAACAAAGCAATGCATCTCTACAATTTAGCTTCATGGGTCCCAAGCTTTATGTGAACACTATTCCTGTAAGAAACTATGATATTTTATACCATTCGGCATAAGACGTTTTTTGAAATTGTATGTTTTGTAATCTATGTTAACTTTGTAGTGCTACATTTAAGATAATTTCTTGATATCTTCCTCATTCCTTATCTTTGTCATTTACAGTTCCCTTCTTTAAGCTACTTTGTCACTTTAACATTCCAAATATTGATGATAATATCTGGAGTTTGATTATTCTGCATTCTTCAATTTCTTATACACCCTTTCGTGGCAGGTTGACGTGGGTAAGAGGCCAGTGACTGGTCTCCGGCTATATCTAGAAGGTAAGAGAAGCAACCGCTTAGCTATCCACCTACAGCATTTGTCCTCTCTCCCCAAAGTCTTCCAACTCGACGACGATCCTGACGGCAACTTCCGCCGTGAATCCTACGACCGTAAATACTATGAGAAAGTACAATGGAAGAATTTCTCTCATGTTTGCACCGCTCCAGTGGAGTCCGATGAGGATCTCTCAATAGTAACCGGAGCCCAGTTACAGGTTGAGAATTATGGCATAAAAAATATCTTATTCTTGCGACTCCGCTTCTCTAGAGTTTCAGGAGCTGCAGTCGTAAAGCATCCCGAGTGGGATGGATCACCGGGATTGGCACCCAAGTCTGGATTGATATCGACACTAATCAGCCATCACTTCACAATGGTTCAGAAGCCCCCTCCAAGGCCAGCAGATGTAAACATAAACTCCGCGGTCTACCCCGGAGGTCCTCCTGTCCCCGTCCAAGCGCCAAAACTTCTGAAATTCGTAGACACCACAGAGATGACAAGAGGGCCACAGGACAATCCAGGTTATTGGGTTGTCTCTGGGGCAAGACTAGTTGTTGAAAAAGGAAGAATATCACTGAGGGTTAAGTATTCTTTATTGACTGTAATATTACCTGATGAAGAAGTGTTGGAGGATCATTAGGTCTTAGACTAATGTTTTTTTGGTTAAGAAAAAAAAAAGATCAATTTTTTTTTTTAAACCTCTAGTGATATATTATGTATGTATAGATAAAGAACACAAAACGTACAAAGGAAACAAACATGGAGACAGAAAAAGACAACAAAGAGGAGAAAAGGGGGCCCTCATGTGAAAACGTTTTTCCTCGTTCTCACATGTGGTGTCAACTATTATTGTGTTGTCGGTTTTGGTGGTGGTGTGTTACGTGTAACATCTTTTTTCATGTCAAAATGACCTATGAAAGCTCGAGTTGTTCGAGTTAGGGGCCTTAGTGGGTTATTGGATGGAGCCTCCTAGTCCTAGTATAGCTTGCACAAAGTGGCTTCTCATGTTTACTTGTGAACATGCAATTATTCTTTTGCAATGGGAATGATTGCGTTCAATGAGATTGGATTTTCTTATAATCTTTGGCAGATAACACAATTCCCATAACGAAATGAGAATCACAGGATATGAGGGTTTTTTTGTTTTTTAGTATCATTAAGCACTTTCCCAACGTATTTAAAATTAGAGAGGGAAAAAAAAACTAAAATAAAATAAAACGTCTCTTTGTAAATGTCGTTGATTGTTGTATCCCTTCCCAGAAAAAGCAATAGTCACCTTATTGTCGGTTAAGAAAATTTATATAGATGATAGAGTTTAAGTGATTTTTATACCATTTTTTCTCACCTATGTTACAATGTGTATATGTAGCTAATAAGTAATAAATTTATTACAAATTTCCATATAGATACTTCAATTTCTAATGTATTGATGAAACACAAATTTTTAGTTACATGCAAAAGTGTTGAGAGCTTCATTAAATAGGTTGTTCGTAATTAGAGCTATGGCTATACTTAGAGTTAAATAAAAAAGCATATAGTGTTGAAAAAAAAAAGTGTATATGTGTTGTCTCACATGGAAAGTGAATGAGAATGAGAATGATTTATATACATAGAATGACCTAAGATCTAAAAAGTTAAACTTTTGAGTCAAGTTAGATTCTAAAGTGTGTTGGGTTAGTTTCGCACGTGGAATCTCCCTAACATATAACACACTACAACCAATTACAAACTCCACACTCACTTTAAAATCCAATTCTTTCAATCTGATATTTGGTTTCTTCTTCAAAGCAGTTGAATATTGCTAGGAAAACAAAAAAACAAACAAACAAAAAAGCATATAATGTTGAAAAATAAGTGTATATGTGTTGTCTCACATGGAAAGTGAATGAGAATGAGAATGATTTATATACATGGAATGACCTAAGATCTAACAAGTTAACTTTTTGAGTTAAGTTGGACTTCTAAAGTGTGTTAGATTAGTTTCGCACATGGAGTCTCCCTAACATATAACACACCACAACCAATTACAAACTCCACACTCACTTTAAAATCCAATTCTTTCAATCCGATATTTGGTTTCTCCTTCAAAGCAGTTGAATATTGCTAGGAAAAAAAAAAGTGAATTTCCAAGGACATTCCTCTGCAATCAGGCGCTCACTGAAAACTTGCAGGGTATTGCATTCTCTCCAAGAAAATATTGCACTGCGATTGTACAAAATTTATATAACTTAACTTAGTATATATAGAGATAAAAGAGAGTTGATTGATTTTATGAATATACAAGTACTATATCTGCTGAGGAAGTAGAAAACTATGTTCATGGGAAGGCCAACATATTCCTTCCCGTTGGGAAGGAAAAGGAGCTGGTTGTGCTATATATGTTGGATACTGCTGCCCAGGCATCACTACTGAGAAATCTGATGCGCAAGTTGTTGGAACCTGTAATCATTTAACAATCAATTAGCATCACATCTCTGAACTGATTCAAGTTAAAAGCGTAATTTTCTTGGATGGGAAGTTACTGTTTGTGGATTTCCAAGTTTGTGAAATGTTCCCGACTCGAGAGAAGCGTTGGCGCTGGCGATATCTTCAGAGGAGGAAAAAGAAGGGCTTGGCTTGAAGAGATGCTCAAAGATGGCCATGATGAGAAACATAGATATCAAAATAGCTGTGGCAACAAAACCAAAGGAAATCGCATTCATGGATGTCCCAAAACTTTTCCACGGAGCTTCATTATCAACTCCTCCTACTCCTGTAACTGTTTGAGCTGGGGTTGGATCTGAGCTCGTGTAAATGTTCCATGGCTTTGATCTGTCTGAATTAATATCATTCATACTCGTCTCTCTCTTCTTTTGCCTCTGTCCTTTGAGGATAAGTTTGACTTTTAGTCAACTTCAACACTTGTAAATAATTGCTCTCAAAGATCAAGAATGTGCGACTAGGTGATTGCTTCTATTGAGTATTCTTTCAAGAATGACGTTTCTCATTCATTTGCAATCTCTATAGATCTGCACAAGAACGACAAGATTAGTCATTAAGAAAATGATGTATGGCTAATAAAGTGACCGGCCGAAGAACAGAAAAGACTTGTATCAGTTTCATGGATAAAAATGATGGCCAGAGAAGCAGTTTAGACTATATCTCTACATTTGAGCGTCTACTAACTAGGAATTCAAAGAATCGGAGATAAAGTTTCCTGAGAAAAGGAATGAAGTTCCAGTAGAATAGAGTTTTTCAACATTCAATTTATGTTATTCTACTAAGCAAAAAGAAAAGTTCTCACAACCCCATTTTTCAAAACAAAAATTCCAATCAGGTTCTCTTGGAGAGCTGATCTAGGAGACAAGAGAAAGAGATTATTATTTTTCTTGGATGTCAAAATATTTTTGTGAAAGTGAGACTAATTTTCAAGTAATTTAAGAAGAAAGAGCGAGGAAAACATTACGAGGAAGAAAGTTTCAGCAATTAATTGCAGTGCTGCTGAGGAAAAGACAGAGAAAGGACGACAGTTACTTCCAAACAAACAATTGCAGAAACCAGAGTTTCATTGATGACTTCCAACTGAAAAGAAACATGGGCAGGTCTTGGATTTCGCTATTGATCACTGCTGATAAGATTTGGCTGAACCAAGTTTGCCATTTTCTGTTATTTGTTCCTAAAACTCCCCTTGCTGAGATGCTACTAAACCATCAAGAATGTGACAAATGACAAAAATAACAAGATTTTATTCTCAAAACACTTACCAAGAAAAGGGGGAAAAAATGTCAGAAGAGAATTGACTTGAGGCTATTCTTGTAATGTAATGACTCAAGTTAATCCAAGATGTATTACTATTATTATTATATATGAGAAGACAATATGAACAACAAATTACCTGATGTTAGTAGGAGGAGCATAGCCATTGTTTTATGGTCCTGAGATATAGGAGCATCCTAATCCTATAATCTTTAGTTTCCGATTCTGTGGGTTATCTGCCAAGGAAAAACAAGACACCCACGATTCTCAATGCATTATTTAAAGAATGTAGCCTCTACCCAGCTAGCTTTATACGCCAATAGAAAATGTAAAGACAAAGTTATATGATAAATTTCATTGGTACACTTTTCCTTTTATGTGTGTGTGTGTGTTTTTTTTTTTTATTTTATTTATTGTGTTCATGATCCGTGATGCCTAACTTAATTGATACTATACCTTGTCTGAAGAAACACAGCTAAAGAAATCAAAAACAATGGGCCTTCATGTCTGGATAGCCTTAAACCAAGTGTGGCCTATTTGGTGCTTTTCCACAAGCTGTCAACTTTAAGTGATAAAATTTTGATTTAGGTGGTGGGCAATTTGTTAGTTATCAACAACTCATTAAACCCACATGAAAGAACTTCCGACTCTTTGGCAAATTATTTTTTTTTTCTTTTTTTTTTTTCTTTTGCAACCAATTTTCATAATAATAACCATAGCCTTGAGATGATTGCCAAAGGAAATAACCATATGATTTAACCCCTTAACCATCTTCCACCACAGATATATATGATTGTGACTATCATTTTTCCGTATTGGTACAACTTAAAAAGGTGGAAAAAAACACATGGGTTGGAACATTTACTGATGGTGTGGAAAAAAATGAATTTTTTTTTTCCTTTAAGGATTAAGATATAGGGGTATATCCCAATAGCTGTAATGAGTAACCTAATTCAAATCCAACATTAGCATTGGGATGTAATCATGGAAAGGTGAGCAATATCTCACATAATCTCAAATAATCACCCACCAAATAAAAAAAATCAAAAAAAAAAGAGGGGAAAAAAAGAAAAGACAAAAAGAAAAAGCTGTTGCTACTGCAAAACAGAATATTAAACTAAAATAACCAAAGTTTGCTGCAAAGCCTGTGTACATTTCTTTTCCAAATGGCACTTGCCTTGGTAGGTTTGCCATCAAAGATCTCACCCATAACAACAAGAGCATATCAAAGCACATTAAGAACATACCCATAAAGAATTGAATAAATATTAAACTGGCACAATATATATATATATAAAATACATTGTAGAAGCTATTGTGCAATGTAAAAAAAGGCAATAGGATGTCACTTGTTAATGTTTGAGAACCAAATTATGATGGTGTCATGTGATATTTTATAAGTTGAGAAATTTTAGAAATTTGTCAGTCAGTCGTTAATGGAATAACATGGTACCAATTCTAGATACAAATGTATAATGAGTGGTGAAACTGTGTAGAATGCTAATACAACAAGTGTATAACATCCTTAAATGTGGTTTTCAAAAGAGCTAATATTTATATATAGTTAAACCTCAATTAATGTTCGATAAATTAATAACCTCGTTTAAATGATAATTTCACTAAATGCATAAGATAATATATTTTTGTTTAAATTCTTTGGAGCCCAACAAAAATAAAAATTAATAATTGACAAAAAATATAATTCATAATATTAAAGAGTTTTTTCTTGACAACTTCTATTATCTCAATTCAACTCTTTTACAAAACATGCATCTAAATTTAATTGTTTTTTCTTTGTACTTAAATTGAACTCAACCTCGTCTTTAATTTTTTACAAAGCATGCACATATCAGGTTTATTTTTTTTCATGATGTAGCAAGTAGTTATTTAAGGTTACTATTGCTTAAAACGTCTCTATTAGAGAAACATTTGGTAAAATACAATTGTCATCTGAATCATGATCATCATCAACAGGTGTATCCATTATCCCTTGAATAATCTCTTCAGTAGTAGGTGATTCCATCACTGCATTATTTTCACTAGGATAATTGTTTTCATACGTACATGATAACATTTGCAAATCTTTATGTACACATATTAATTTTTGACCACATACCATTATCTATGTTATTTATAGCTCATGCATAAATCTTTATAAAAGAAAAAGTACATGTACAAAAGTAATTGAAACATAAAACTTTTCATAAATTAATAAATTATTCATTTACAGATAAATTAATAAATTATTTATTTATCAATCAATAAATAATCTCTTTAAAATAATATTTTTTTCCTAGTCTCATCAATATTCATTTATAGAAGTTTTACTATAACATCCCTAAACGTGATATTAAACTTGTCCATGAATCATAAGTAAATAATCAGCGAGAGATGTATAAAGAAAGTTATTATGTAAAGATGATAATAAAACATTATGTCCAAAGAAGGTTATTATGTAAAGATGATAATAAAACATTATGTCCAAAGAAGGTTATTATGTAAAGATGATAATAAAACATTATGTCCAAAGAAGGTTATTATGTAAAGATGATAATAAAACATTATATCCAAACACTTAAATTCGCATAAGAAAATAATAGAAGTGTGATATTTAAGGCCTAAATTAATAACCAAGCAATGTTACAAAATTATTACACCAAAATAAGATTACGTATACAAATATGGTCCGTTGCGTTAAATAATATTAAAATAGTACCATCATGTTTTAAAATTGTGTCTGATTTAAACTTTTGATGATATTAAAACGATATCGTCACATTAAAAAGATATTATATATACAATATAAACTACATCAATTTTAATTAGAATTTAAAAAAAATTATACTCATTCCCAAATCTGATTACTTAAATTTTTTTTTGGTTATACTGTTGCATAATATTATCCTATGTATTAGAATTATTAGAATATAACTTATTGGAATTTAATGTAAAAATTTCCATGATAAAACATGTGTTAGTTTCTAAAGACACCTTGAATTTTTAATTTAATAAACAACTTGAATTTTTAATTGATTCTTTTGAGTGAATGAGTCAGTGTAGGTGGCAGACTATTCTTCAGTATTTATAAGTTGCCCTTATTTACTTTTAAACAGTTTGATAGATTATCTCGTGGTCTTATATAAACTCATGGATGAGTTCCCTACTTTTATAGGTGGCTAACGGAAGACTATTTTTATATGTATGTATATATATATATATATACATACATATAGAGAGATGAGTGTTGCAATATACAGCTGTGCAGTAGCAGAGTAGCCATGATTCAAGAGAAGAAAGAAATGGATCTGATGCATAAAGAAAAGAGCTAGAAGAAAAAGGAATTGGTGTAGACCATATTTATTCATTCCTCACAATATATTTTTCTTAAAACAAATTGTTGATTGGAACCCCATAACTTTTGTCAGAAAACACTACTGAACCCACCAGCAGGCACTACTACAACTTCCACTAGCTGTTTTGGTTTGAAAATTTTTTATTAATTTGGCCATGGCAAAACAAAAAATTATACCTTTTTTTTTTTATTCCTTTTTGGTGAACATTAACCAAAAAGTATTAAAAGCGCCATTCCATAATGCCTCTTCTCTCTCTCCCACGCACACACATGCAACAACAACAACAACATATGCCGGAAATTACCATTAAGCCAAGAATCCTTTTTGTAATACATCATAAATAAGAGGAAATTCTTGTAAAAGAAATGGAGCCCATGATTACAAAATATGTGTATGATTTAAAAGACCCTACAAAGAAAGGAGGGAGGAGAAGGGAAGAGGCTATTTTGTCAACAAGGCAATCACCATGTCTTAGAATGATATGAAAGCCTATCTGAACTTATTCATAATATGTCCGAGTATTTTTTATTTTTTTTTTAGATTTATTTCATAAAAAAAAAAAAAAAAACACTTCATTTAAACATATGGGAAATTAATATTGTCAAAAAGTGAAAAGTATAATATTAATGCGAAACTGCAAAAGTGGAAATGATTACAATGACTTAACCTACCTTTTACCCAAATAAACTTAACTTGGGGTCTTCTTACCAGCTTAATTCCAAGTTACTATTGAAAGGAAAGAGGGAAAAAAATTAAAAGAAAAATAACCGATTCTCCAATTTCCTTGCTGAAAAGGGTAAAATTAAAATCCATGTAGTTGAATTTGAGAAAAGAAAAGGTGAAAAAAAAAAAACATAAAGAGGCTAAAACATTCCGTATCAAACCAGAATACAAGGAAAAGAAAAGAGGATTCCTTTTGTTTTTTTGTTCTTTAATTCTTAGAATTAGACATAACATGCTGTCATATACAGGAGTCATCTCCCACAAAAAGATAATACAACTTTTTTTCCCTTTTTATTTTTTATTTTTTTGGTTTTGTTTTCATGTAAGACATTTTTCTTAAAGAGAGAAGGGTCCCATGACAAGAACACGCACAAAAGCAGATGTCTTGAAGCACCGTCCATTTTCTTTTCTTTTCTTTTCTTTTCTTTCCAAACCAATTCTCCACCACAAGCAACCTTTCACTTTCTCAACAATTCACCAAGAATAACTCTCCTCTTCTAAGATTGTAAGCAAATATATATATATATATACACACATAATATTTTACGACTAACTGCGTGATGATAATTGTAATATTTTATTGTTCCGTTCATTTCACCGATTTGAGTTTATAATTCGAGTTTTATTACAGTAAAACGCTCTCAGAAACAGTCACATCTAACTTTCTTGCTACAGTAAAAAACTCTCACATAAAATCACATATCAACTCGAATTAAAAATTTGAATCAGTAAACTAAACGGATCCTATATGTTTTTCCCATTATAAGTAATTTTTCTCCCTGAAAGTTGCCCTATTTGACTCAAACTTGAAAATATAAATTTGAGATTTTGGGATTAAATTGAGGAGCTTTTACCCATTATTTTCCTGCTGTCAAGAGATGAAGAAGAAGAAAAATAGGAGATTCTTGAAAATTATTCTAATTCTTTCTTCCCTTCTCTCTTTATTGTCTTTAGTTTTTATTTTATTTTTTATTATGTTAGCTTAGTTTTATTTTGGTTGAGGGTGATTTCAAAACCCTATACATGGATTTGTGATGGATATTATGATGTTATTTTCCGATTTTCTATTGAAATTGCTTATGTTCTTCCATATATATTGTTCATGATTATTTTTTTTTGTTTTTGTTTGAGTGGCCAATTAAATAGGACTTGAAAATTATCTAATAATTGCAAGAGGCTTTTGTTTGATTGCATGCGAAACATAACCTAGGTTGAATGATCCAAGCTTGTGTGATTGTTATCTAGATCAACCTATATTTTTCATCATAATGCTTCTTTTGAATTAAATCTATAGAGCTTGTTTTAGGTTATTTGGGAAAAATGGATTAAGTAAAGAGCTCATTTTGCTTAACGACAAACTAAGAAAATATTAGAATAACAGATTTTGTTGTTATATACGGTTGATAATTTTATTAGAGAATTGAGAATGATATATTTGTTCTATTGTCTAGTGGTGGAGATTGATTCTTTAATCCGTTTTCTTTCATTGATCGCTCCTTCTTAATTTATTTCAAATTTTGTTTTCATTTATTTTATTTTTAATTTAATATTTCAGATCCCTTTATTTATATTTTCATTTTACAAAATTAATAATTTATTGATTAAAACTCATTTCTCTGTGAGAACGACCCTTGCTCAACTACCCTTACTTAACTACCATACTATAGTACAATCGCATTCTAATCAGATTTATAAATTTGACATCCCATTGGAAACAACCTTCACATGAAAAGAGAGCCCACGTAATAAATTTTTTAGACCCGTTCACTTCGCTGATTCGAGTTTATAATTCGAGTTAAGATATGATTTTATGTGAGAGTTTTTTACTGCAACAAAAAAGTTAAATGTGACTATTTCTGAAAATTTTTTACTGTAACAAAACTTAAATTCTAAACTCAAATCGATGAAGTGAACGGGCCTTAAACTCTAAGCTCTACTTTTGTATAATTACCTTTCATGTCATTTTTATTTCCCCTTTATTTTCTTCTCTCTTTTGGCGTGTTTTCCAGTACCTTTTCACTTTTTAATTTTGGTCTTTACTTCTTCTCTCTCTCTCTCTCTCTCTAATGATGACCAGCTCTGAAAGACAGCAAAACAGAAAGATAAGAGGATCCAATTAGTTATGATCACCCAAAACTTTCAACTCCTAATCAGTTTTATCCTTGTTTTTTGTCAAGCTTAAATGAAAACCACAAAGAAAACTGTAAATGACACCAAAAAAGAATGTTCTGATAATGGTCTCTGTTAAAAAAAAAAAAAAAAAAAAAAAAGTGTTGCTTTCCCTCCAAAAATTTCCTTCGAGTAACAAAGGGAAATGATAAGAAGTTTGAAATAGAATTCGAAAGGACACTGAAATTAATGAGTTTAAAGTATTTCAATTTCATAGGAGAGAACAGAAAACATAAAAGGTAATGGCAAGAATATTGATTGAAACAAAGACAAGATTGTGTTAAACAGTAATCTTATTCTTCTTAGACTACTGTCTTTGATAGATGAGAAAAGTAGAAGGAAAAAACATGACAAAGTAGTGATTTTTTTTATAGGAAAACTTGCTGATACTCATGTGGCAAGTCAAATTACCCATTTGTCCTCATTTTCAAAAGCAAAATAAAATTAATTAATTAATTAGTACTACAGTCATTAGCTTGATCACTTTTTATACTTTGTATTTTTCATTTCGTCTGTTTTATCCTTCCTCTTTCTCTTTCCTTGCTAACGAAGAGAGCGTAGAGAACTCTTTCAGGCCTTTTTCAAGGAAGAATTATTATTTTTTTCTTTTTTTGGTTGAAATCACTTCAGGGAAGTGTCTGAGTGACTAATGTGATAATATATGTACACAAATAGATATACACGATGCGTCGTTTCTGTATTACATCCTGCAGTTGCGAATTATAGAACAGACTGAGACTGCTCAGTACTCAGTTGTAACTTGCATACATCATTTATCATATATATATATATATATATAGGATAGGATATAAGATGAGTGCAACTTTACTGCTGCTTTCCCATATTGACGTAAGTTTCTTTATATTTGTATATTTCAACATCTCTTTCTTTCTATGTATCTTGGTATAATTGCAATTCCAAATTATTATTAGTATGAAAGGACAAATCCAAATTTAGTTGTACTCTTGTACAATACATCTCAATTGATAGGGGGCATCCATAGTCTCAACAAAAAACAAAAAAAAACAAAAAAAAAAAAAAAAAAAAAAATTTTGTCTAAAAAAAAAAAAAAAAAAAAAAAAAAAAAAAAAAAAAAAAAAAAGGGGGCGATGGGGGTGAGGGCGGCGCGAGGAAATCCATAGTTGGTAGCTTTAGAGAGCAAATGAGAATATTACTTTTTCTGGCAAAAAAGGAGAATACACTAGTACTACTATAATAGCAGACAGAAGTAGAGTTCGTCTTCAAGCATTTCATTTCCATAGACAAAGGGATGTTTTTGTAATTAACTCGTTTCTTTTTTATTATCAAGAATAGTTTAAAGACGTTCCAATGACGTCTGTTGAGCCTCATCAAAACAAGATCAAGGAAATTTTGAAAAAGAATGAAAAATGGCCTCAAGGCAACAAAAAACAAAACCAATATTCCAAAATTCACGATATTGCAATGTTCTTTCTAGCAAAAACCAAAGATGAAACTGGAAATAATTGGAAGATTGCAAAGACAAAAAAACTCTGCTACTTGAAAATACAAAAACGAGAGGCTATAATAGTCCAACTTTCTCACGGCAAAATTAGGCCTTGAGCCGTCCGTAGAACCTTGCTTTCTCCTGAGTAGTTTGGAATCGACCATGGCCAAACTTGGACGACGTGTCAATGAACTTGAGCTTGATCTCCTCCATAGCAACCCTCGAGGTCTGTTTCAACAGTGATTGCCTCAAGGTCACAACACGCTTTTTCGGGCCCACGCAGCAACCCTTGATCATCAGGAAATCCTCTTTGACCACACCATAATGGGGAAACCCTCCAATGGGTGTAATATCCTTCTCAGTCCTGAGGGAAATCCAAGAATAGAAAGTGATATGGTTAATATCAATCAAATGCCGTCCATAAAACGAGAAAAGGAATTTGTTTTTTAACAAATTAACATAGACCAATGAGAATACCAACCTGTCAAACTCGGTCATGGCAGAGTGAGACTCCTGCCCAGCCTTTCCAAGCTTGTATATCTTTTTATTCATCTCCGTCCGATGGTGGTAACCATTCTGTCCAGCCCGGGCAACGGTGAAAGAAACTCTAGCTGGATGCCAGGCACCAATACATGCCACCTTTCGGAGTCCACGGTGTGTCTTGCGGGGAAGACGAGTAACACCCCAACGAGTGACCACACCTTCATATCCCTTACCTTTGGTCACACCAATAATGTCAATCATCTCATCCTTCTGGAAAACAGCATCAATGGGGATTTGCTTCTCAAAGAAATTGTAAGCAAAGTCGACTTTCTTAGCTATGTCTCCACCATTCACCTGAATTTCCATCAGGTGGGCTTTCTTCTGCTTCAAGCCCTTCATTTTTCTAATCTGCAGAGATTAGACAAATGAATAATATTTAGTTAGTCTATTCATATGATTTTCAACAAGCTAAAATTTTTTTAAAAAACTATGATCCGTAAAATTCACTATTCAAATGGTGCCTAAAGGGTGGATCCAACTTCATTAGCACTTTCCCTACGAAGAATTCATGCTACATTAGATATATATACCCAAGTCACAAACAAAGGAGTACACTTTTCTTCTGAACATCTTATAAAGCAATAAGAAAATTTCCAAGATCAAATACCTGGGTATGTGCCAAAACACGGATCACAGAACAATACTTCTTCAATTTCTCCAACTGAGCCTGAATATCCTTTTTACCATCATCAGTTTCATACTTCTTTGAATATTTGGCAAAAGCCTTCTTCTTGGACTTGCACCAGTTCTTGTAGAATCTCCTCTTCACCTCTTCACTAAGATGTTGGGCCCAAACAGTGTTCAGACAGCGAAGACCACGGGGTGTCTTTATATAACCAACAACCCCAACAACTACCATGGGTGGTGTTTCAATAACAGTAACTGCCTCACATGTTTCCTTCTTATGAAGTTCTGGTTCATAGAAGAAGAGTAAATATTTGAATACTCGCTCAATCATACAATATACGTTTTCCCTTCATGAAAAACACACCCTAGCTTGAAGTTATTTAGAAATTAGAAAGAAAGCATAAACCTAAATAAATGCTCACTTGATCCCGGCTTCTCAACTTCTCTAACAATGTGAGTCATCCCAGCTTTGTATCCAAGGAAAGCAGTCAATCTGCACGGTTTGGTCGGATCATCTTTAGGAAAGGCCTTCACTGCAACGTGCAAACATGACAATATTTAGTTTATAGTTAATATACAGATACCAGAAAAAGAAAAAGAAAAAAAAATCTCACATAAATAAGAGACTTGTACGCAACGAAATGAATTATCCAGCTTAAAATGAGTCAAAGAGTGAAACAGACATGATTGGACTTAACGCATGGCTATCCAATAAGCACAACCCAAGTGACAAATACTGCTAGATCTCCGGGAAAAAAAATGAAGCAAACCTATACAATAATAACATGCAAGTATGGACATTTTAAAGGAACACAATAGTGAACTGAAGGGAACCCTTAACAGGACCCCCAAAAAAAAAGACGATGCAGAAGTAAATATTGATAGTATAAGCCACTGTAAGCGAGAAGTTTGGGATATGTTTGGTGTTTCGCCAAATGACTAATGTACTTATATGAGGGTATTAACCCAAAAGACTACTAAGAACAAAATCCACAAACCTAGGATCATTCATCACAACAGAGATAGATAGACAGTCCACATAGAAATTATTGCATCAGAACAGAGGTCAATAAAAACTTAGAACACAAAAGTACAAGCAGAGGCTCAGAAAAAAAAAAAAGAAGGAAGAGAGAGAGAGAGAGAGCAAATAAAGGAGAAATGATGCACTAAGGAGCAAATCCAAATACGGAATTCAATAGAAACCTTTTCCCCTGTGGCGAGAGGCTCTTTTTCTTGGAAGGAACCCCAGAGATCCATGTCTGGGGTGCTCAAACTTGCGATGAGACATGATTCCTAGTTACAAACTCTGCAAGACTGAAAAACCTTAGCACTATGTCGAATTGAAACAAGATGAAAGCAAATCCTGGAAAAATATAACGTACTCATAATAACAAAACATTGAAAATGGAAAAATTTTAACAGGGCTATGTAATGATTTAAACTTACTAAAAAACTTAGTTCTATATTATCAATAAATGTTGGTGAACTTGTTTTATTAGAGAAATCTCAAAACCAATTGGACATAAAGAAGGAAACACAAATGCACCTATAAAATTTATGAGGACTTAAAAATTGAAAAAAAAAAAAAAAAAAAAGAAAGAAGAGAGAACATTTACATTTTAAAATACACACACACACATATATATATATATATATATATAATATAAACCGCTCTCTTTTGTTTGTTAGAAAAGATGCATCTTTTTTTCAATAGCTAAAAATAACTTAATGAAAACATTTAATACAGGAAAAAGGGTATGACCTCCTCAACCAACAAACATTGGGTACTACCATTGACCCAGCAGCTTGTTCGAAATGCTCCCCACGACCAAAGGCCTATGGCAATAAATTATGCCAATTCTCAAGCTCATTGGTATTTCTTTCCAAACACCCATAAGAGAGAGTTTGGTAAAAAGAGCCCCTTTGAGACTCCAGCCTTGATTACTCACAATTGTTCTTTGGGGGAAGACATTTCAAACAGCACAGTGGACAAGAGTGTATTAAAAACATGTTTGAATATGTTGAGGTGTATTTGAAAATAATAACAATGATAATGATAATAATAATAATAAATATTTACAGAGAATTACCAGAACCCTGGGTCCATCCAACAAAACTAACGAAAAGAATTCGTAAAAACATTAGAAAAATATTGCAAAAACGTAAGCTTCAATATGTTCATCCACAATCTTCAAATACCAGAAATTCACAATAAGAACTACAAAGCTTCATTTTTCAACAGAAATAATTATATTTAACGATACAAATAAAAATTTGAATAATACTTATCAAAGTATCGAGCATTAACAGATTACTATAATTATATTTACCACTAACCATCAAAATTTAATCAATTCCGGAAAGTAACAGATCTAAGCATGATTTAGAAACCACAAGTCCATCAAAAATGAGATATTATCTCTTCCGATCGATTTGAAATTCGTAAGACCCAAAAAGATAAAATTCGCAAGCAAATCGAAGAGAAATCGAAAGATCCTACCTCGTAATCGAGAAAGGTAAACGGAGAGAGAAGAGGAAGACGACTCTGGTCTCTGCTGCACTGGCGATTTTTGAATCTGAAACCAGTGAAAATGAGATACGGAAACCCTAGTGGATTGGGGTTAGGGTTTGAATATTTACAGGGATTAGATTGCAGCTTGCGCCCTGAACTTTTTGTCATTTGCTAATTAGACTCGAAACTTTTGATTTTGACGTTTAACACGAGAAATTTATAATCCTTAGTTATATAGTCCAATCAATGACGGATATTATTAACATCATGTTAATAAACGATAGGATACTTGGGATTTGAAATATCAAAATTTAAAAAAATTTAGAATGCGACTCATCAATTAACAAAAGTTTAGGGTGCATTTATGTGGGTATTTTTGGCTCATGATTTAACTGATTTTTAAAATTTTGGGTCAATTTCACAAACATTAAAAGTTTAAGCTGCAAGTACAATATAGATATTGTGATCGATAAAAAAATTTTGAAATATTTTTTACTTAAATAACATGTTTCTCAAACTCAGTTAGGGCTCATTTAAAATGTATATTCAAATTATAATTTTTAATTCTAATGTTCAAAATTAAATTTTTTTGTTAGACAAAAACACTGTAACAGAATCAATGATTTGAGTTTTAGTTTATAAAACAAACAAGCCCTTAAATTTTTACTTATTAAAAATTAAAATTATATACTTACTAGTAAAACATTAGACGTAAATAATTTATCTATCTAATAAATAATACATTTACATTGGATAAATAATTGTTTATAATAAATATGTGTCACGACTCTAAAGATGAGACCGTGATTATTGAGACTTAATTAAAGAAAATTAACTTAATTAAACTGAATTAATTAACGAAAACCATAAAAATAAATATCAAAATATATTGCTCCGGAGTCTTTCTTTTACAAACAATATTTAAAACAGTCCATAAAATCTAGAGAAAGTAGTACAACTCTGGGACCATGTTAACCGATACAATTTATATACAAGAATACAATACATCTCATAATATATAAATTGTAATTCAAAACAATCGAACCACTTTGAATCTCGCGCCTTCAATCCATTAACATCCACTTGTCATGTTGTAAATCTAAACTGCTAACTCTGGACGGGGGTTAAAACATTGAAAATAGAGGACAAATGAGCGAAATGCCTAGTAGGATATAGTTTTAGAAAACTGAATAAATAAATAGAAGCTCAAGGTCTGAACGAATCATTTGAAACCAAACAACCTTTTTTCTGAAAGGAAAATAAACTTAAATTACCGGTTTCAGGCACCAATAAGTAATTTAATGATAAATTACTTACGACCATTGCAAGGCCAATCACCACCGTAGTAGCCTGTACGGGTTTCAAGTCCTACCCCCAAGGATATGATCTCCATATCCCGATTTCTAGGCCATCAACGTTGTTACCATTTCTTAAAACATCTTATTTTAAGAAAAATATCCATTAAACCTTAATTCAGTTCATTATGAATTCAATAGCATAAATCATGTTATTGCCTTAAAATACTTTTTTTTATAAAACATGTTTTATCTTAAAAACATTCACATAGGCCAAAATACTTTAAAATAAGGCTCACAAGGATATGGACAAAAGTATCATACCTCTTGACAATTTAGTCTACAAATAACTCCACGTTGTCCAACCGTATATTCTTGAAGCTCCATGTCCGATCGTGCCGCTAGTTTCGTCATTAAAACAATGTTTTAGAATTTGGTTCTCACCTTTGAAACAATTCTACTTCAATTATGTACAATTACTTCCTATTAGTGTGCCTTGACTCAAATCCAAAGTTTACAACCTATTTATAATTCAATTGGAATTCTTTGAGAATTAGAACTCAAACATTTAATTTGGTTTCCAATTGAAATTTACTTAAAAAAGCAAGTTTTTAAAGCATTTCTACAGTATTCCAGCAGCAATAAGGAAAATATCAAAAGCTGCATTTTTAGCTTAGTTCCAAAAAAAATTTATCAGAAAATCACTAAAACTAGTTTCCAAACACTTCAACAAGTTCAATGACTGAAAATTCCCAAATTTAACCTATGTTACACCACAATTCGTTCACATCTAAACCCTGACTAAAATTCATCAAATCTAACCAAAATCACACTTTCTCAAGTTAGAAATTTAAATCCAAGAATGGGTTTTTCAAGGAATCTTACCTCAAATTGATTGAGGAGTCTTGCTCCCTTTGTTTATTTTTTTTTTCTTCTTTCTTTCCTACATTGGCAAGATCAACCAAGAGAGAGACAGAGGTGA